CACCTACTACAGAGCAGAGGACTGATCACCTCAAGAGGTCCTTTCTAACATCAGTTTCCATGATTCTGATGTTACGATGCTACAGGACACTGAGCATCCTTTCTACTCACTCACCGCACAATAGTCATCAATTGCAATTAAAACTGTTTGGAACAGACAAGTGGCTGCTCTCACCAGCTTCTCCTGCTCTTCCTCCCAAATGCCACAAGATCCCAAAATCCCACCAAATCACTTTATGAGCTTTGCAATGCTGATCAGCATAAAGCTTAGGAGTCTTCCTCTTCTACAGATTTTCAGCAGGCTTGGACGGTCTGGTGACTGTTCTTAGCTCATGTTCTTATTACTGTGAATAGCTGAAGGAAGAACTGCACATCATCCTGAGACAGCTGGGCTGGGTTGACCCTGGCTGGATGCCAGGTGCCCACCAAAGCCACTCTATCGCTCCCCTCCTCAGCTGGACGGGGGAAAGAAAATACAACAAAAGGCTCATGGGTCAAGATAAGGACAGGGAGAGGTCACTCATCAATTACTGTCATGGGCAAAACAGACTCGACTTGGGGAAAATTAATTTAATTTATTATTAATCAAATGAGAGCAGGATAATAAGAAATAAAAGTAAATCTTAAAACATCTTCCCCCCAACCCTCCCTTCTTCCCGGGCTCAACTTCAGTCCCGATTTCTCTACCACCTCCTCCTCCTGAGCAGCGCAGGGACACAGGGAATGGGGGCTGGGGTCAATTCATCACACGCTGTCTCTGCTGCTCCTTCCTCCTCAGGGGGAGGACTCCTCACACTCTGCCCCTGCTCCAGCCCGGGGTCCCTCCCATGGCCGACAGTCCTCCACAAACTGCTCCAGTGCGGGTCCTTCTCACGGGCTGCAGGTCTTCAAGAACTGCTCCAGCATGGGTCCATCCTTTCCATGTGTGCCAGCCCCTCAGGACCAGACTGTTCCAGTGTGGGTCCCCTGCAAGGTCACCAGCCCTGCCAGCAAACCTGCTCCAACATGGGCTCCTTTCTCCATGGGTCCACAGGTCGTGCCAGGAGACTGCTCCAGTGTGGGCTTCCCATGGGGTCACAGCCTTCTTCAGGCACCCACCGGCTCTGGTGTGGGGTCCTCCCTGGGCTGCAGGTTGGGATCTGCTCCCCCGTGGGCCTCCCTGGGCTGCAGGGGGACAGCCTGCCTCACCGTGGGCTTCACCAAGGGCTGCAGGGGAATCTCCGCTTTGGTGCCTGGAGCACCTCCTGCCCCTCCTTGTGTACTGACCTTGGTGTCTGCAGGGCTGTTTCTCCCACATATTCTCACCCCCCTCTCTGGCTCCAGTTGTACAGGGGTTTTTTTCCCCCCTTCTTAAATACATTGTCCCAGAGGTGCTACCACCATCGCTGATGGACTCGGCCTTGGCCAGCAGCAGGGCCACCTTGGAGCTGGCTTGCATTGGCTCTGTTGGACATGGGGGAAGCTTCTGGCAGCTTCTCACAGAAGCCACCCCTGCAGCCCCCCACCCTACTACCAAAACCTTGCCATGCAAACCCAATACAGTAGCCTTAAAACTTCTCATCATTTTTTAATCACGTTAAGAGCAGAGTCAACCCCAAAACCTTGCCATGCAAACCCAATACAATAGCCTTAAAACTTCTCATTTTTTAATCACGTTAAGAGCAGACTCGACATAACTGTACAAGTAGCTTAGATGATGGCATCTCTTGTGGTGGGGGAAAACCCAGGGCAGATTTGTTATAGCTTAGGAGTTTACAGGAAACCAGGTAGAGCAAGATGCACTGAATATATTTTGACTGTTGAAAGTTGGGGATATACTGTGGAAAATCTGCAAGTGCACCCAGTTAGAAGTCTCATTTCTCAAATTTAAAATAAATCTTGAAGATAGCCTTGTAAGATTGCAGTGCGTACCATGACTGGATGCCAAAGGAGGCATCAGAAGGACCAAAAAAATCTTGACCTTGTAATAACCAAAGTGATCAATCACCACAAACTCTGCTTGCATTAGTACTTCTGGACCTCGGATTCATGGGTTTTTGACTGCTGTCCAGAACCTCCTGGGTTCGTAAGTTACTTCTGAAGGATCTATGTGGAAGGAAGTTATGAAAAGCGATTTTATTAGCAGGAAACTTAAGTTTGCTACACTAAAAATAACCCCAAAGGACTTAAAGTTTGGAAACCACTCCCTCTGACAAGGAAAGTAGTTGTTTCATCTTTTTAACGATAAGTTAGCGGATTCCAGAGTTTTATGTACTCCCACAGTAACACGCTACTTACACTGAAAACCCCACTTCTGAAATTATTGTGGTTCTGAAGCGCTGGTTTTCACAAAAACTAAGCCGAGACTTAATTTCTTTCTTTCACATTTGAGGTTTTCCAGGAATTATGTTAATATCCTGGATTATATATTCTTTAAAACAAGGTCCCTGACTGTATCTGACAAGTGCCGAGCACAGCAAGACAAAGTGACTCACTAACGCTACAGAATTTGAGCATATTGTATCACATCCTGCTTGAAATTTAAACGCTAGCATGTGACTCAAACACAATAACATCTGGTAATAGCCAAGTGCAAAAAAAAAAAAAAAGAAGCCTTTTTCATTGAAGTCCAGGAAAACACAACAGTGGGAAAAAAGTCTTGGTGCTCTTCCTCACATTATCTGCCCTTCCCGGAGCAGGCTGGTTCATCGAACAGAACAAACATAAGGCAGGCACCATACGTACCAGAGGACTTACGAAGTTACTGGATGTCCAGCTTGAATTTAGAGGTGCAGAAAGGATCCCCAGAAGACACCAGGAGAGGGTTACAGAGAGAGGAAGGGCATTCACCATTAATTTTTGCTGTAATCATGAAACAAGGGCAGCCAAACGCCTGACCCAAACACAGATTAGAATCTCCTTAGCTAGAAACGTAGCTAAGGCGCGCGTAGGAGCTGACTGAAAGCAAGAGGCACTTCTGTTTCAACCCACACCTCCTTAGCTGATCCAGTCAGTGTTTGTAACACCGACCCTCCTTAGAAATGCAAAAGGGCTCTAGGTGAACAAGCCTGGCTCCAAACAACTAACAAGCACAGCTAATGTGGGTAGACTTTAGTAAACACATACGCATATGAATGGAGTACATTTAACTTTTGCTGTTTAGAGTCTATCTGGTTAATTTGCAGCCTCCTCCCACAGTCGCAAAACAAATAGTTAGGAACACGGTTTGGCACCAACGGAGATGTAAGTGACAGGGTTCAGGCTCACTATGCGGAGTCCCAGCTAATAACTCAACACAGCAGCTTTACTGGGGCCCTCCGGTGGGCCCTTCGTAAAGGAAGACCCCTCTTCCTCATTCGGTCACATTTTTAACATTAACAGCAAACTTCTTTCCCTTTTACAAGAACAGTGCATGCGGCACCACTGGTGTCTCAAAGCAACTTTCTGCTCTTTATTCCTCAGCACGCAGGTTTATACATTTGCTGATTTTTAAATTTCATAGTTAGAGTCAGTAATATGCTTTTTAGTTTTTACAGGACAATAAAATCGCTTGCCAGAAGTTCCTGACTTAAAATTCTACACAGCAGATTGATGTAGGCCTCTTGATCCCTCTTACCACATTTTTGCCAAGCTGGAGTATAAAATAGCTGTTCTGCTAATTGCACCCAGGGATTTGCGTCCGATATCCAGACAGACTACTAAAGCTGACTCCGTTTTCCCTTTGATCTTGCGCATTCTGTTGCTTGAAAGAATACAGACAGGTGATGGAAAATGCTGGAGCTAGGGCAAGCACAACTGCTCAAAGACCAATTAACACCAAAAAAACCCCAAACGAACAAGAAGCCAAAATGGAACTAAACCCACAACAGCTGGTGGTCATCAAGGCAGTTTTCCCAGAGGGCAGAAGACTGTTACTAATAGGATGGAAATACAAAATTTACTGAGACCAACTGTAACCACTGATAACATACACAGAGAAGTGCCTCATTTCTCACATTTTCTGCAGAAAGTGAGAGCAAAGCTGGACAGCAATCTTAACTTTTATTTTGTATGTGGGGGAAAAGTGGGAACTGAAACATAGTCCCACTGAACAATTAGTACCAGGAGCTGATTTTACCATAATGCTATTCTCATCACATTTAAAACTAACATTCAAGTGATTCTACCCATAGAAATATGTTATTTCTCAGAGTTTAATCAATGTAGTGCAGTTCATTAGGAACTGCCTACTGAGACTCCCTTCCATTTGAAATTGTTTCAATTACCGCAGAACCTGGATGCTAGAACCCCCAACAAGAGATGAAATGAAGCTGTACCTTCTCCCTTTACAACAGTAGAGGCCTTGAGATGTTTCAATCGCATTACAATAAACCTACATTCCTCTACTAACACAAAACATACACTCTTGCCACAGGAGACAAATACTTCTTACTCTGTTTCCAGCCAATGATTTTAACATCAAGTCCAGAGTAAACATAACCTCTTTGGAGACGGGAACATGTTTGTGTGTGAGAACAGCTCGCTGCATTACAGCGGTACCACCACCTACTAAAATCACAGCATGCACTGAACAGATGCATGCACAAGGGCCATTACGTTCTTTGACACGGCACTGAAAGAACGGCGAGTATCAAAAGTTCGGAGACATTGAAGAGTCAGGACATTTTTTTTTTTTTTTTTTTTTTTTTTTTTAAAAACACTATCACCAAATCATATACACCGAGAGGTAGGAAAGCTATTTTTATTCAATGATGGTTCATCTGCAGCTCATTTGCATCCCCCAAGAAGTGAGGGACTCCAAGAATCAAGAAAAGCCATTCAAATGCATAAGTTATCATGCATTTATCTATTATTTATTATCAGATTTATAATACAGGTGAAGCAACAGTGCTAAATAGAACGATTTATCATTCTGTGTGGGCATTTGTTTTAAATGTGGTTCTTTCAGTGCCTTGGTGATGGTCTTCCAGAAGACGGCTGAGGCTGCCTGAATTTTGAGAGAATTGCAACAGAATCAGCAAAGGTATAGATGTTGTATTCATGATGCTGAAGGTTCTTGTAGGTAGAATTATCGAATTCTTCTGGAGCAGGCTCAGCAGCTGCTGTGGTCTCTGTGAAAACAAACAGTAACTGGTGACTATAAGGATGCCACACTGGAGGGCAGTAATCTTAGTTATCGAGCCAGCCTCCATATACTTTCAGAACCCTCATCCCATCAGCATTTTAAACAAACAAGTCTGTAACAGAAGGCTAAGTTTGCCAAGTTCTGCTGGTACCTTGTCTGATCCTCAAGCAGAACATTAGTATGCAGTAGGGGAAGAGGAATCAGTACAAATCATCTAATACAGCACAGGTTTTTGAATCCAAGCTACTGCCTAATGCTAGGGGAAGACAGGGCAGAACATTTCATTTATATTTTGAAGACATACGTCTGCATTTCCTGGCTTTTTCATAGTTGCCTTGGTTTTCACTCCAGCCAGAACAGTAGGTGATATTCTTAGCAAGCCGGGACAGGCAAACCAGCAGTACAAATGATGTATCATCATGTCAGACCGTGAGACGCAGCTATTAGCGACTTTACAGACTGAATTTTTTCCATGGAGAGAAGTGATGGAATTATGGAGATCTCCACAGCGTAATTTCAGATGTGGTTATACTGCACAGTAATATATCAAGAGCCTTTGATGTAAATTTCCTTTCTTCTACATATAATCTTCTAAACTTTGTATCAGCTCTTCTTCTTAAAAGAATAACCTAATAAAGTTTTTTGGAACTCTTTACTTCACATTAATGTCAACATTAATTCTTACACTTCTAGAATATTATGCAAATTTAGGCAGTACCATTTCCATAAAAGGTTCCTGTTACAAGCTGATTTTACAACCAAGGAAATTGCAAGAAGTAAAGCTTTACTCCCAATATTAATTTATTCTCTTAAACCCAGAGTTTTAACAACAGGAAGGACAGAAGTATAATCTACCAAAAAGCTTCATCACATAAATTTGTATAGAGTGGTTTAGTTTAGATCGTATTAAGCTTCTTTTTGTAATATGACCGTCTACGACAAAAATACGAGAACTCAAGAAACTAACCACGGGAATTTCCCTTTGATTATACCATAATTATTGCAATGCAATGCTATCAGTTTAAGAGCACGTATCCCTAACATTTAGCAAGACTCGCTTATAAAACACAGTGTAGTATGCCGTGGTTTCAGCAAAACACCACACACAACCTACAAAAGGAAACACCCCTGTGCCTACTGCTCGGTTCCTACTGAGACAGCTCATAGGAGACAACACCACAGATATAAAAGCCAGATGATGCGGTCTTTGCTGCAAATAGCCCCAAGAACAGGCAAGCGTAGGCAAGTGTACATTCAACCTGCAGGAGACAGTTGTTCCAAATTAAGAGACAGATGCTCATGAAGAAAGGCAGATGGAGTGTCATTTTTCCTGCCCAAATACACTGTACTTGGCTTCTCAAAGGAAAAATTTATCTCTGAGCTCATCCTCCTCATACTTCAGGCTTCATCCATGTCTTCCCTGTTAAAGAGCAAGCATTTCACAGGATATTCTTCTGAAATAAATCACAGGTATATTTCTGAGTTACCATGCTACTATTTTGCTACTTACTTAGCAGTTAAAGTCAGCAGTTTTTGCTGACTGCTTAGCATGCCTGCTCTACAAAGTGGATAACATCACCTTAACATCCAGGTTTGTAATGGGAGAAATTGCTGTTACATTTTCAGCATGCCTGCTGCAGAGTTTGCAGATGAACAACAGAATGCAGGAACAGAAGTACAGATTATGGAAGGTTTGATCATTAAGCGTGAACATTAAACGTGGAAAAGCAGTAGCTGTTCTCAAAGAAGGCCTCAAGAGAAAGAGAGAACAGGATATGCCTGGAGATACCAGTGTTGAACATGGTGTAGCTAGGTTTGACTCTTTGCTACCCCCAGCACTCAAAGACATTTCACCAGCAGCAAAGGGGTGTGAACTTGCCTGTACTAACCCCTACCTCTCCTACAGCCACCACGGCAGAGTGCTGTAGCAGGTGTACAGCACGTACCCAACAGAAACCTCCCTACTGTCACAGCCTTACCACCTCCACAGAAGAAGAGGAGCTCAACATCAGAAGTGCTGTTTTCAGCACAGCCAGGTCTTACTCGAAAGGGTTTTGCTGGTGCAGTTATGATGATGATGGGTCCGAGGCACAGAGGTACTATTGCCCCATCTATACAGATCTGCAGGAAAAGTTTGTCACATGGGCTTAACCTTATTCTGGACTTACAGCCTCAGAGTAGGGGAGGCTGATTCATAGATCTTTGATGTGTCATAATCAAACCTTGAATCATTAGTACATTTTAAGACCAAGTCCTCCCTCTCATACTTGAAGTTAACTGAACTAATTTTTGGGGTCTTCATATCAGCTTCAATGTGGGGGAAAAAAAATAAAAATACTTGAGCATCCAGAAGTCCACTGTGGATGAATGGGGAGAAAAGCATTACCTGTAGATAATCACAAATAGCCTGTCCCAATCTTTTTTTCTTTTTTTTTTAAAGGAAGCTTCTGCTGCTGACTGCAAGAAGGAACAAGTAAATGAAAATGTCACTTGCAAATAGTGCTGCATTTTACCATTTGAGTTGCGGGTAGGGAGGAAGGTAAGCTTAGTTTCCAACTCTTAGAACAGATCAAATTATGAGACGACTAACCCTTAAAACAGAAGAGAGGTATTTCACTCAACACTGTACAAAAGCAATTATTTGCACTTAACCTGGTTAGACACTTCACAGAGTCACAGAATGGCTGAGATTGGAAGACACCTCTGGAGGTCATCTGGTCCAGCCCCAAATGCTCAAGCAGGGCCAGCTTAAAGCAGGGTGCCCTGACAGCTTCTGAATGTCTCCAAGGATGGAGACTCCACCACCACTCTGGGCAACCTGTGCCAGTGCTCCAACACCCTCACAGTAAAAAAAAAAAAAAAAAAAAAAAAAGTGTTTCTTGATGTACAGGCAAACCCCTGTATTTCAGTTTGTACCCACTGCTTCTTGTCCTGTAACTGGGTGCCACTGAAAAGCATCTTACCTCTGCCTACTTTGCACTTCTCTGCACTCTCCCTTCAGGTATTTACATACATTGGTAAGATCCCCCCACCTGAGCCTTCTCTTTTCCAGGCTGAACAGACCCAGCTCTCTTGGCCTTTCCTCACAGGAGAGATACTCCCATCTCTTCTACCACCTTGCAGCACTTTGCTGGACTCGCTCCAATAGCTCCACATCTCTCTTGTACTGGGGAGCCCAGAACTGAACAGAGCACTCCAGGTGCATCTCACCAGGGAAGGATCACCTCCCTCAGCCTGCTCACACACTCCTCCTAATGCAGCCCAGGTTACCATTGGTGGTCTTTGCTGCAAGGGCACATTGCTGGCTCATGTTCAACTTGCTATCCACCTGGACCCCCAGGGCCTTTTCTGCAAGGATATCACTTAAGGATGATATCCAAGCAGCTATACAATTATGCTGCTTTTACTTTCAAGTAGGCAAATTCTTTTATTCAAAGCAGCAACCAGAAGGGTGGTCTTACGAATGGTATGTTACACAAGTTGAAAGGCAGGAACGGCAAGCCACCACAGACCAGGACAGCAGGGCACTTGCTATTGAAATACACAGAATGAGACCAGCAGGTAAGTTAACAGGACCAGTAGTAAATAAGAAGGGTAACTTAGATATAGAAGTATGGTGCACGATGCTCTTTCCTAAAACATACCACTGTCTCCTCCCCAACTCGCTACAAAAAAATGGGTTAGAAGATCAGCTCTGTGCTACTTCAACACAATACGCTTACAACCTACCAATCTCAGAATCAATACCCATTTCTGGCATTACACTGTGATTTCTTGAAGTCTACTGAAATCTGAAATGCAGCAAGATTTAAGAAAAAAAAAAAAGAAAGAGAAGGACAGCAGGATTTAAGCAAAAAATCATATGGCATCAAATTTGGCTTAGGAGAAAGGCAGCTACCAAATCCTTCCGAGAAAAGAGAAGAGGAAAAACAAGTCTCATCATATAAACCCCATGATTCTGCTCACAGTGAAAACAATCTTGTTTTCATTTTTTAAGTAACTGGTTTATGAAACTATAAATACAGCGAACTGAAGACCTCTTCCTTTCACAGCATAACTGGAAACTGAGGATTACTGAGCACTTACAACAATTAGCAATGAATAAGAATTGATCTTCTAGAAAGTCACTGCTACACGGTTAGCTTCAGTATAAAGATCAGAGAATAATGAACAGAGAAGATTTAGAACCCTTTTTTTAAAAGTTAAACCCTAGCCCAGATGAATCAATACAGTTCAAACAATTTAAAGTTGTACCCTCTATTGTGCTGCTTTCTCCAGCTTGGACTCCTGTTTCCTGAACGGTCTCCTCCTTTGCTGTAGTGCCCATCACCACCACTGTGCTTTCAGAAGTTTCTTCCAGTTTAGGAGCAGTTAGTTCTGCTTCTGACTCCTGTGCCTTCTTTACCTTTCTTTCTTCTCCTCTGGATACCAGTTTTTGCTGTTTTTCTTCCTGAGCCACTGATGAAGCTTTCAGCTGAATAGCTGCTACTTGGGTTCCAATGGACTTCTCCTCCACATAATCAGATTTATGAGTGGCATCGGTCAGGTCTCGGCTTTCAACCACGTGTGGTTTGAAACCCAGCTTCTGCCGATCTGCTTCTTTTGGAGTTGATTTCACTTTGCGGTCTCTTGCTTTGGATTTTGACGTTTCATGGCTGACTGATGTTTTAGAAAATGCAACCTGCTTGATAGGAGACACATCAGTTTCTGTTTTGCATGGCTTCTTCTTAGCTACATATTCTTTGTGGGACTTCTGGGACAAGTTCTCCTTTGCTAGCATTGATGCCTTTACTGCTATGTTCTCAGAAAAGATGGAATCTCGTCTAGGAAACACAACTTTGGTTTTAATGGCAACTTCTGAATCACCATCATTTTCTTCCTCAGAATCTGAGCTAGAGTCTGAATCTGAGCTGGATGAAGATGAAGTCTCTTCCTCAGCTAACTCTTTTCGTAAGCTTCCTCTTGTTGCAGGTGTAGTGAGGTTTTCCTCCTCAAGGGAAGAAACAACTTCTCTCTGAGGAAATGCAACCACGGTTTTTCTTGACATGAACATCCTCACGTCTTCAGCAGAAGGTTTTGAAGCTTCTTCAATGTTGGTACTAGATAAGCTCTCACCTTTGTTTGCAGATACTAGGAGAGAGCTAGAAGACAACATTTTAGGAAATTCAGCTGGTGCCTTGATGGCTAGCAGCTTGGTGCTTCCCTGTGGTGCCACTACATCTAGGAAACGGCATAAAGAGGATTATCATCATTACATCCGACACGGTTGTTAATTAGTGATCTTAGTCATACAATTTTAACTTTCTGAGATAATCTGGTACAAAACGCAAACTGAAGTCATTATACTTAAATACAGGCATTATGAAGCAGAAAGTTTTAAGACATTTTAAGTTAAAGAAACGAATTCTAGTTAGCACTTAACAGTTTTTGCCGCTGCGATGCTGAAACTTATGAGAGAATGCCTTTTGCTCCTTGCTTTGCCAGTCTCCTCGCAAGAGCTGTTTTTCTCTGTGTTTCATTCCGCATCACTGAAAATGGTTTACAGACACCTTCCTATCTCAGATGAAGATTAAGACAGCTTGTTAGCTGAGCTCTTCAAATATGCTGCTACAGAGATAATATTTGTCTATGAACAAGCCAGCGAGGCAGAAGACATAGTAAACAGACATAGCAGTAGCCAGCCTCTTGCAATAGTTATCTTTAAAGCAGTAGGGAGGGATGACTCCCAAGAGACAAAGCAGTGGAATGAGAGGTACCTGAAGCCATACGTGACAGCATTACTTGTTCATGTGTCCACATGACCTACCAACTGAATTGTCTAACACAGTTTAGCATTATTTTCCCAAAACCTTATCTCCTCCAGTCTTCACTGTCTCCATTTCCTACTTTTGGTTTGAAAGCTCTTTGTAAAAAAAGTCTTAGAAGATCTCCTAATGGTTCAATGTTAGCCTGCCTTTGTTTCTTCTCCCTCATGGATACTTCCATTAAGCTAAATTCTCCAGACAAGGAGCTAGCAGTTGAAAAGAAAGCAGCAACTTCAGGCCCTTTCAGAGGGTACCCAATACTCTTTGGATGCTTGTGCCAATTATATCCTCAAGGGGCCAATCAACAGTGAATGCTGTTGTGGTTACAGAAAACAGAAGGACAGAGAGGACTGAGAGCACATTAAGAGGATACATGACCACTGAAACCTGCTATAGCAAAGCCAACTCCATTATGAGTTGCACCACTTCAAACCAGCAGTATAATTCAACAGATTTCCAGTCTATTGTGAAGATTTATCTGCACAGTTTGGAAACCCAGATCTACTTTACAAGACCATAAATTAGATGCAGTTTTCCCCTTTACTAGTATTTTACAGTAATACCTTGTATGATCCAAGGAGTTACTATAATTAGTTCTGAATAGAAGCAAGTCTTTAGCAACGTCCAAATGAAAACATCACAGAAGAGATAGACACGTGAAATTAAAAGCAAAGTATTTAAGAAAGAAATACAGAGTTCTTAACATGAGTACAAATGAAAAAAATATCATTTTACCGTACAGGTAATACTTTTGAATAATTTCAGACACCTATTTCTCTCTGCCAGATGGAAGGGGCAGGGCAGGGGGGCAGGGCAAGGGGAAGCAAGAGGATGGGCAGCCACCTTTGAAAGAAGCCTGATTCTCTGCATAGACTGACACAGCCAAACAGCAGCCTGTAGAAACTAATACATGAGGAAACATTGCTTAGGATCGAAGAGTTCTTGAAAGAAGCATACAAGACGGTCAAACTAACACAAGAATGCCCAAAGGGATGACAAGACAAGTGAAAGCTGAGTAAAAGTTGAAGAAGTGTTAACGTTAAGACATCCTAAGAAGCCAAGAAGGCAGGTGACATTCAACTTGACCATTAACAGTAGCTGTTGCTGGAAAAATGCTCTACACAGCAGTATTTGGATATGTGAAAAAGATACACATTTCAGGTTATAATCATAAACTCTAATAAAACTGGTCCAGACACTTTAATTAGGGTACTTCAAACTTTGTACCACCCGATACCTATTTGCACCGCTTTGCCAAAAGAACACTACATCCAAATCAGTAACAAGAATATTATCCCCAGATGTGTTCTTACTGATGCTTGTAACATCAGTATCACTATCAAAACATGTTTAAAACATGCCTGCACTCAGAAAGGTGGCATGCAGAAGTTACAGGTCTGTTCCCCATCACTGACTTCTTAAGTAAACATAACCATTTTATCAAAGCAAAGAAAATCTGCACACCCTGTTCCAGCTAGAATCTGAAAGACAGCTGCATCCTATGCACCTTAACTAACCTTAACCATTTGCAGGGGAAGCAGTTGGCTGAAAGGGGTGGCCTAAAGAGGTCTCCTGACACCTTCTGAAATCAGAGCTGAAGGACAACGAATCTAGAAACTGATGCTAAAGTACGTATCAAATACGCTCGCAAATAACACAAAGAAAGTTATAATAAAAGCAATTTGTTGTTCATAGAATCCTAGAATGTTATGGGTTGGAAGGGACCTTTAGAGGTCATCAAGTCCAACCCCCCTGCAGTGAGCAGGGACACCGTTAACTAGATCAGGTTGCTCAGAGCCCCGTCCAACCTGGTTCAGTCAAGCTTGTATCAATCTACACAGCAAAGGCTTTCTTAATGGAACAACCAAGCTCTTATTTGCCTTGGCATTTAAGAAGCTAACATTAGAAGCCAGAAGCCCGCATTCAACTACTTCTTCAGTGATCTTTTCAACAGCTGTCAACAAGTCTGATCACTCCTGCACATGGTCCCGTGGAGCTTTGCTGTTTAAGCACCTGGATCTCCAATTTGGGATGGGAATCCTACTTGCTGAAACAACAAGCCTCTATTTACAAACAGCATCTTGGAAATTTGTATTCATGTTTTGACTTTGGTCAGGGACAGAAGGGGTTCAAATACTTCTGAATGTTGAATGCACTGCAGCATCCAAACCGAGGTTTCGCCTGTATTGCCTTGCCTGCAAACCTATGGGGCAAAAAGCACTATGACTAAATTTAACACAATAGGGCCATGGTAGTTTTCTGCAGCTTCTTGACGCTGTTGCCTGGAGCAGATATTGGGATCCTGCAAGTCCTTTTCTCTTTCTGTAAAATGGGATGCTTTTTGCCCCTCGTAATCCAAATATTTCAAAGGACAAGGGGGAACATCTTAAGTTCAAAACCAGATTTTGCACCTCATTAAAAAAAGTAACTTGCTGTGCTCATTTCCATCAGATTTCAGGCAACTTGCAAAGCTTCTTTACATTAAGACAAACATAGCCATAGCTCTACTTAAGCATGGTCAAGCATCACAGCAGCTAATGTATTAAGGTGAAGGTAAACGGGGAAGAAAGTGTCAAGCTCGTAGCGTGGCCTATGAATATAAATATAACCCGTACAGTCGCTTTCCTCCCAGACCTTTACTTTTCGTTTTCTTATTACGCGGTACGTTTGAACAGAAACCCTTGTTTACATGGTGATGACCTTCCACTTCCTTGGCTTATGTACATGGGCACGAGCGTTTCTAAGCCCTTCTTGCCTATTTAAGGACAATCAGAGGGACTTGAACTTCAGACGGGCACTCCCCGGTCCCGACGGCCAGATAAAACATTTGCAGTCTGGGTGCCACCACAGGGCGCAGAAACCTCCCGGGGCTGGCAGGCCGCTGGGGAAGGCGTTTAGCAACCCTGCCGGGTTTAGCAGCAGAAAAGCAGACTCTCCTACGAGCAGCTGTACCCCCGCGTCCTTTTATTTGCAT